TCCATTTACAAAGTTCCTTGTTAATGTAAAAAACCAGAAAAAAAACACGAAAAGCTTTTTAAAACATTTGCAAAAATTCCATTTTCTTAATTTTACCACCTTCGCAAAGCGAATAGTGAACGAAAATGGCTAAAAACTTTCGGATACTTCAATACTGAAGTGCTTCAAGTATATTTGAAGTGAAAACTTCAATATTTCAAGTATCGCCAAATCACCTCAATTAGTAAGAAGAGCGATTACTCGAAGCGAACAATTATTCGATCGATTGAAAGCAAAACTTTGGCTGAGAAAAAAATTTTCATTAAAAGCAAACGCTGAGTAAATGAACGGTAAAGCTTAACGATGAAACGACCCACAGATAATGAAACTGTTATATGACTGCGACAGTCATCATTACTACATTTCAAATACACTATAATACGATCAGTTTTTGGTATGAAAAAAACGTTTTCAAATAATCAACAACAACGATTCGACGCAATGATAAATCTCGAATCAACTCAACATTTCAACAACCCTGATGTGCATATGAAGATAAATATACAACAAAAATCATTTGTACAGAAAGCAAAATAATCTCAAAATAAAGACAATTTGTTTTGTTGCAAATTTTGAAAGAACTCAAATTTCTTAAATCTTAAAGAGTACGTGATATTTGGTCAGGAATGGAGTTTAATGAAGTCGAAAGAAGCAACAAAACGATACGTTTGAGCGCAGAATGACGAGCTTTTGGGCGAAAATGAATGAAACATTTGAAAATGCACAGAAATAGAACAATCGAATTGAGCGATNATTTCCAGAAAAAATCAGTCAAAGTTTACGCTAGAAAAACTTTTCAAAAATATCACAAATTCTTGTCGGGAATCCTCACTAACTGTGAATTGCATAATGACGGAAAATAATCAAATGAAGTCGAAGGGATCGAATCGTGATGAGTTTTTCCTTTGGTAATCGATCAATTAATCGATCGGTCAATCAAAAATCGAAATCAAAACAAAACAAACGAATCACCGAACCAGCAGTGAAAAGAAATGGAAGTGGTGAAATTTCAATTAAAATCTCACAAAAATCGCACTTTGCATATCTCGATCTAATGCAGCTATTGATAATTAATCGTCAAAAGATGTTCGTCAGCAATTCTGACTAAAACTTTTTCGCATCAGAAAAAATGTTTACTGCTGTTAATAACTGCAATTCATTAACTATTCCATTTTTTCCGAAGTTTCATTACGTCGTATTCGACCGTACAATTCTTTTATCCTGAAAATGGCACTACTCAGTCGATAAAATGTGAAAATAGATGANCTGTTTCAATTGCCGAAAGTATAGCTGCTAAACGTTTCAGTCACTTCTGTTTGATTCTATAACAATTAACTGACAAAATTTTTATATTGCTCCTAATATTTTCAGATCATTTCTGAGACTACTTTTCTCCCAACAATGCCGCTTCAATCAACAATGTGCCACTGAGGGGTATTACTTGAAAAGATTATTTCCTACAGCTCCGAATTCTAACTTCGGTTATGACCGAAAGCGTGAATTCTGATTTTCGATTGCTATTTCCAAATAAAGATTGAACAAATCAACTTACCGCCTAATCACCTCTCGTCGAACGGGTGCAGTGAAGTGATTGACAAGACACGATACCGTGGCAATAGCAAATGCCACATTATACGTCCATACAAGCGTGAAATTCGACAACCAATCAAAACTACCGTACGCACCCAATAAATCGAACGTTGTTATTCCTTTAACGGTTCATTTCACTCGGCATTCCTGCTGAACCGCTCTTCCGATCNATTCGATAGCGAATCATTCGTTGAAAAACTGAGAATTTCGTTTTATCGATGAATCAATCAATGTTTTCGAATTCCGCTAATATTTTTCCTTTCGATCATGAATTACAGCTGATTTACAGTTAACTGTCTAAAATGTGATGGAAATTGATTTGAAAAGAATGATACCAACCGACGACATAAAAAGCCCACAACGCACCAATAAATCAACTAACCGAGTGTTTTTGCAAGAACGGGTAATGCCGAACTAAGTATCAAAACCATCATGCAATTAGCAATAATGAACGTCATCGTTGTTTTGCCCTTCATCGGTCTCAGTCGTCTCAATACCGGTACCGAATAAACGCCAACGAGCGATGCAATCATTATATACCTAAATGAATAAATTCGTTCTATTAACTGAAATTTTTTCATCCATCCTGTCAAATTCACTTAAGCTCAACTGCCCTGACAACATTTTGGTTGAATAACAGAGAGAAAACATTCAAAATGTTCCGGGTCATTTTTCAATAGTTCAGTATAAAAATCTAGTTTAATTTGCTGCGAAATGGTAGAATATCCGGTTAGACAGAGGATCCCGTTTGTGATTTGTATTGAAACAACAACAAAAATATTTCACTTTCACATGACGATTCTCTTAAAAGAAAATATGCATCCAAGTATCTTATAGAATGTCAACGTAATGAGCATCTGAATAAATTAACACCCCAAAAGAAAAACAATTATCCACGATGACGAATCAAGAAAAAACGAATCCAAACCAAATCGTAAATATGAAATTGGAAAAAAAAAATTCGAGACTAGACTGAGATGAGAATGAAACTTACCAAATAATAGCCACCTCAACTAACGCACCAAAAATGCCGAATGTATGTCTTGAGCTCACTTCAATGTATTGTGCATAAACAGGTAAGGCTCGGTAGCCAAACAGCAGTTGCAAAGTATTAATCAACACCATTAACACAGACACTGCCTTCAAATTTGAACAATTTTTAATCAGTTTTGATAGTCATATTTTGAAATTGCATTCAAATTTCATATCCATCAGCTATTTTATGGTGCAGCTTTTCACTTTTCTTATCAGCATTCATATACACAAATTTAATGGGTAATTTAATGGCTTGAATACTGACTTCATTCGTGTGCCTTAATTGCACTCGATATGCATCAAAAAGCAACATCAAAAACCAAAAAACAACAAATTGAACTCAAACCCACAGAGTTTGAGAAGTAAAACAGCTTCATTATCATATAAATCAAACTCAATACAAACGATTACTGGCTGCTCTAATGAGCAATTTCGAACGAAAACACCATTGTCTCATGTTTCTAGATATACACACATAGTCATAAACCAAGCATGACCAGTTTCTTTGAAATACTGCAGTATTCAGAGGGAACAATTCATAACGTTTGTAAATTAGGCGAAAACCAGAGATATGAATTCATAAAGTGAACAAAAATAAAGATTGAAGCGCAACTGTACGTACGGTAAGGAGTAGAAGTGTGACGATAGCGAGTAGATATTTGATGGAGTGAAGAACTTTCTGATAGCCGAGAAGTGGTTTGTTCGGTAGGA